AGCGGTCACGATTTTTGTATTACTAAGTTCACTACTGTTAGTCCCCATTCTAATACTCTCCTTACTTCTCGAGCCCGATAATCTCCGAAATAAGAGACGAATTATATGCTAGCCCAGCTTACAAACCCTAAAACACTCATACGAACAACCCGATAACTTTTCAAGTCTCGGAACGTAAGCTGCAATCAAGTAGGTTAAACGCAGAATGTATACTAACATACCATTCTTTGCAATAGCAGTTCTCGATTATGTTAATTCAACATAACGCCCCGGTGAAAAACACAGAAATACGATGTATGTAGATCGAAATCTCTACCAAGAAACAAAATTGACGAAGGCTGACCACTTCCGAATCCACTACCGAAACTCTCAAATGGCCTTCTCAGGAAATACGATTATTCACACCGAAGGACTTCCTCGGCCCACAGGACATCGACACCACCGGATGTTTATTGATAACTTTTAATATTATCTTATATTAAATATGACCTTATAAAATCAAATTATGAATCGAAATAATGTTGACGAATGCGTTCTTACGAGTACAATACACGATTTTATTTATATGAGTGCCCTACCACTAATTCTGAAAAGTATCTAACTAGTATATTCCTCTCTTCTGAATTAAGTTCATTATTCGATAACTACGTCGTTGTCTCGTCAAAATAAAAATTAATTATTTGGTTGACAGGCTTCAATAGAAAAGTAACAAACGCCGAAATCAAACCAGCTCCACCACAAAGACGCCTCCGCTCATTACAAAAATACACCTTTTCCAGGAGGAGATGAATCCTTCGTCTTAACACAATTTCTCTTTACCGCTAGGGCCGCCGTTCGACACCCTCCCTCCCCCGACGCTCAAACGCAACCACCCACGGCACACGCCACCGCACGGCGGAGCAGGAGGGGGGGACCGTGCACGTGTGCGCCATCGATAAAGCTCTGCCGTATCTACTGCTGCGGCATCTCGCGCTCCACGCGGAGAGGCCAGGGGCACGCCGCACGCGCAGCCCAGCGCCCACGCCCCCAGGCGCCGCACCTGGCAGAGGGACTCCCGGAGCACGCGATAAGCCGGGATCGGCGCAAGGAGTCTCGTTTGGCGTCTGGGCGACGCAGGGCTGTCCAACCAATGACCAAGCACTCCCACAGCACACAACAGCCTCGAGCAGGAGATTATTAAGGCATACACGCAATGCAATGCTCCACAGGAAATAGGTTGTTACGAGTGAAATTCAAAAGCGTTAACCGAGGTCGAGTATTTGTAAGATTAATATTATAATATGGAATGATACTGTACCGCCTTTAAATGAGAAATTACTAAATTATTTAAGAACATGCTATTTTTAATAACGTATTGCATTGCAATATCACTCATCAGCAGGGATAAATTTCATTCTTTGGAGGCATAGCTGCCGTGTCCCTTAACGCGATATCAAAAGCCGGACACAAGACAAAAATAATCAACATCAATCTAATTCAATACATAAATATTATTATTTTACTTCTTGGTTATATCTGTAAATTTAAGCTTTTGTTTTCGTCAAATATGTCGGTGTGCAGTACAGCAAATTAAAATATCGCTGGCTGTGTGGCTTTGCATTGCATAGATCAATTCCTGGCGATGCATATGATTCGCAACGTAACTGAACATCGTCCTTGTCAAGGCACACGTTCGAGATAAGATGCACTCTCTCTAAATCTGCCTTTTCACACTTCCCAGGGATCCGCAAAGCAGGGCCCGCAGGCCACAAGCGGCCCTCGGAGCTCATGATCGCGGTCCGCTGATCATCTCCAAGCAAATTACGATTTTAAAATTTAAAATTGATTGTCTGTACTATGTAAGGCGTGATACAGTGACGAAGCAAATAAACAAATGCAATGGTTTAAAACCGTATCAAGATACAGAGTTTCAACATTAAAATAATTCATTAATGTGATGTAAAATGAATTTGAGGGGTACGTAAGGTCGGAATACGAATTCGCACTGTTCGTAAGACTGAAGACGTAAGCATTGGGCAGAGGAACCTGGCGGCAGAAAGCGCGTAAAAGTTTGAAAGTGAAGGACATGGATAGGAGAGAGACGAACCGTGGAGGCTGGTCGCGGAACCTGCAATATCCACGTCGGCCGGCTATGTCCTTGTGTAAAAGACCTCCCGGCGCGCCCGGCGGCGGATCGAAGTTCAGACCACGTATCGCTCACGTGGAACAGATTTTAGTTCGGCGGCGTGGCGAAGTGGCGAATGGTAGCAAGGAAAGTAAAAGAAACGCCACAACTCCCGAGAAGCTCTCCTGCTGACCTGCTCTGACCATCATAAAATGCAATGGCAAAATCTATTTTCGACCCAAAAAAAATTCGTTCGTCTATTCACGCGCGTCAATCATTTTAACGGACAAGCCAATGAAGAGCTTATTTGAGGGATATAATGAAACGAGAGGAAGGAAAATGCGAGAACAAAACAAAAGTTGGTGGTAACCACATTGTTCATCATGAGTGGCGACATGAACGATCAAATCCGTACCGAATAGTTAAGAAGTCGTAGGTAGTTGTCTTTCAGAAGAGATAGTCTTTGCATTCGTATGAGAAGAATAGCGTAGAGTACCGTGCAAAATTATGAATACCGTGGAGTGCCGGGGGCTTTCATCTTGGTACTAAAGGTGGGAAAATGTGAAAATCTGTCAGACTCTACAAAATGTACAATATACATTACAATGAGGAGGTTAAACGTTCTTGATATCTGAAAATCTGATTTTAGTACTTCCTTTTGAAAGAGGTGTACTGAAGACATTAGATTATTGGAAGGAGAGCAACCTTTGTTTCCGAGTACGTTTTTAATATTTTTGTCTTTTAGGAATAGAAAATCTATTTTCTCCCGTAAATAGCATTTCTTTAACATCGTGTCAACGCCGCCCGCACCACCTCCCGGGCTGACGGCTCCAAGCACCGACGTGCGAATCCCGTCTGGTGGCGAATGCGAGAAGCAGCACAAGGCGAAGCAAAGCTTCCACGAATCAGCTTTGCCCCCGACGCAATCCACGGCAACAACAGCCGGGTCAGGCTTCGTGGCGCGTACGCTAAAGAATTCGTCTGTACATGCGCGACTACGGAGATTGGCGACGTGACGGCCAAAGCCCGACATGAATTGTCGGCGGAATTACTGCGATTCGGAACTTTGTCACCAAAGGCGAAAACCTTCCGAATCAACTGCTACGTTACGTGTCATTATGGCACGCTGACGTAACTGAAAAGAGAAAGATAGAAATGTACACAAACCGAAAATTTCCCTTCGACTACTCAATAAAAAGATCATTGAACGATTGTAGTCTTTGAAAATACGGTATACGGAATACTTCCGTGTGCCTAGAAACAATGTTTCCACCACGTCAAGCTCCTCCCCCCTATTCCACGAAGATCCAAAGAACTGAACTTCCCTCCCCCTCCTCATACAGCACCTAAATATCGGATTTCTTTTAATGTCCTCCTTTCTAACGTCACCCGATCTGTCTCTCGCTGTTCAATGCGCACAGGTCGAGGACCGACGTGTATCGCGCACGTGGCGCAGGTTTTCGCTGCCCGGCCCGGCCGGCGCTGGAGAAAGGATTCCCGGAGCCTTCGATCGCGTGTCTCGCGAGGCGAAGCAAGGCGCTCGCCTTCATTGACGTCACGGGGGCCGAGGCCTAACTGCGCGTTCGATTCGCCCTCCCGTTCCATAACACACGGGACCATTACACTCGGCGAGAGCTATTTCGTTCCAGCCACTTCCATTAAGGCTTTGTTTTTTCAGATTTTGGTTGGCTTACATTAAATCTATGAAAGGAAAACAATTTAGAAAAGGTGTGATTTATGTTTGTGATAGATTGAAGATACATAAAAATCTCTACAGTGGTAAATTAGGTCAGGGTATTCAACGAAGGAAAAATGAATTAACCATCAGATAGTCGCTCTTGAGCCCGCCGCTAGTAGTCCAAAATCTGCATCCCGAGAAGCTGGAAAAGACCCCGAAAGAAAGAAGAATACAATGTCCCTCTCGACTATAGCCGAAGGTTCAATTAATAATACGACCATTATTAACTTTCTCATTTCGAATTGATCCTTCAATATTTTTTTTCATACTGTGGATTATATATCTCTTTCATTAGAGTGACTATGGAATAAAATTGAAAATTATATAATATATATACTATATATATATATTATATATATATATATATATATATATTGGGTACGTCGTTCAGAACCAAGTCAGTGATAGGCATTTATTTCCATCGCGATTACTTGTCTTCAAGGTGAAGTCGCTTAGGTTGTTGAGTGCAACCATGAAGAGCACTGACAGTACGCGTAAAAATGTATTTCAATGTTATTATAAATACTACCATTAAAAGAATCTCCTCTTTAAATCAACCCATACAAAATTCCATTGTCTGATCGCAGAAATTATCAGTTTTACGTCAAGAGTTTTCTTCACAAAGGCGTCAGTAACTTCATGAATACTTTTGGGTGAATTCTGAAATCTCGGGTACTCTGAAATCTGGGCGAAACAGAAGTACGTAACAGTTATCAGAAGTTCCTCGCTCACTCAATGTCGGTAGTCTCATTAAAAACATTACGATTTGTACTCATCACTACACTATTTTAAACACGAAAGAAGCCGACTTAGTTCCAGGTCTCACCGACATACATCGATACCTCTCTTCAGTGCAGCACTCCGGGACGAATGGGCTGTCATTCTGCAAGAAACCTTCCAGCACCTGATTGAAGGTATGCCTGCGAGAGTGGAAGCTGTCATCAAGACTAAGGGTAGCCCAACGCCCTACTGAATTTCAGCATTACCGATGGAGGGCGCCACGAACTGGTAAGTCATTTTCATACTTTTGATCATATAGTGTATAATGCTATCACCTCGCAGAATTACGCTCTTTCATTCAGAGATGACAGCATCACGCGCTAAATAATTTGTGGCAGGTGATAACCGCCGCCCTCCCACGTCTGATCTGCCACTCACCTGGCCGAAGTGCGTGCCCGGCCCCTGCGGACAGCTCGGGATGGCGGCCTCTTGGAAGAAAATGCTGAGCGCAGTCTGCGAAAAGAAAGAGCACACTTCCTTCAGTGCTATACAAAGCGGTCAGTTTCAAGTTAGGCCGAAGGTTGCAACACGAAATCTTACCAAAACACACGTGATCTCGGAAAAACGAATCCCAAAACATTAATATGCCTAAAGAAAACAATAACGCACAAGAGAAAAGGAAGACAATGAAATCACATATCAAATTATTCAGTTCACATATCACATAAACGGCTATAAAATTTATTATTGTATTACAGCAATACGCCATTTTGGTAAGGGAAAATAATTTTGATGGGAAAATAATTTTGATACGATCATAGGAATAGCATGTAATTCAATTAACGTTACACGTTATTTTGTCTATCCGTGAAAAAATATTTTACGTTATTTTACGTTACACGTTATTTTGTCTGTCCGCGAAAAATTTCATTTTTCGCTTTACGTTCAAAAATACCATTTCAAAGTACTCAAGAATTTTCTTCTCTTGTTACAGTACTGGAGGAATTAAAACCAACACTTTCAAACAGTTCGCTGAAATAAATTAAAGTCGCTCGGTTTGAAATAAAGCGGTAAGAAAACGTACAAACAAATCCAGAGAAGAAACTTTATTAATGTAGCGACTTTACTGCTATAGCTCTCAGCATTCGCGTTGAGAGTGTACTGGTAGGAATAGAGAACGACTTTCAAACCTTTTATGCTTTGGTCCGAAGGAGCTTTGGGATCTCAAACATTCTTAATACCCGTTGATGTCTAATCTATGGATTATGAAATTTTGTTGTATATTTTATCTCAATAGCTTTGCAATCAACTTAGTATTTGACATTCTATCAAACGAAAAGTACTCTGTAAGTCAAAGAATACGGGCACAATGTCAAAAAGCTACATAGCTAGGTCGAATTCAACTGCTGTTTGAAGGAGAATACTAGTGACCGGCTACTCTGATAGGTAGTTTTGAGTGGATTCTCTGATGAATACTAGGTGAATGCCCAAGCAGTTCCCAGACAAAACGGGCCATCTTTCTTTCCGTTCTCTTGAATCCTCTCACAATACTCACACTTACATGCACTAATTTGCCACACATGCCGGTATACCAGTCGGGAGGTTAGAGCTTGTCCCGCCTGGGGCGGTGCCATGCTGATAAGAGATACCTTGCTCGGGAAAACCCGCAAACCGACGAGAAAGTGGGTGGCGGATATCGTCATCCAGTGCTGGAAGATCCCAGCCACCTCCCGCGACAAAAACGTGCAATACACTTACGGGACTAACGACCATGGCTGTTGACGCGTCCGAAATCAGTATTCAAACAAAATCCAAATATTGGGTACAATTACCGAGAGCGAGTAATACGAATATGGTGAACGCAGGAGGTGAATACAGGGATAAATAGGAGAACCAACAGTTTCCCATAAATCACCCGATGCTGAGCCTCGATGTGCATCGACTGCCATTGAGGACGGCTGAGCCCGGGTGATCGCAATTAATCACGGTCACGCCACAACGATTGATCTTCCCGATGACAGTCATCGACTTTCAATCACTGCCAATGGGCGGAGTCTCAAATAGCAGAAACCAAAGCATATGGCCAAAACTATGCCTAAATTATGCCTCCCTTGTAGAACGCGCTCGTCGCTGAAGTGGGCCCTTTTCTTTATTCGCATTTTGGGCAACAGATTTGCTGATAACGAATCGCAGGAATTCTTGCCCCCGAAATGTTTATATGTAAAATAAATTTAACAACACAGGGGGTTAACATGTGATATATCATCCCCACGGAAAAACAAAGAGGAAATATTTCTTCATTCATACTCGTAGTAAAAAGGAACTAAGAAACAGGCAAAGTTTAACTATAATAAGGAAATCTGTTAGCATTCCCGTCTACAATTGCATTGCATATTTCTTCATCATGTTGAAGCCAGCAAAAATTGATGTCCGACATAACAGTTTTCCTGTCGCAGACAGACAGTAAAGTTCTCGGCGCGCAAAGAAGACTTCGCTGTCCCCTCCGTCAGTATCATGTCCATAGAACGCACGAAAATCCAAGCGCTCTGGCTCCATTATGCTCCCAATATAAAGTTATATATCAGTAAAATAGTAGCTATAACTAGTAGCTAAATAACACATACTCTCTCGCATTAGTGGAAACGGTTACATAATATTGAAATATTACAATTCCTACGCTACCAACACCTCGGCTATTACTTGAAAACGTCCAATTCATTCAATACAAACCCGTGGTTTCCAAATACTTTTCAAACTCCTTTTACAGACTGAGACCGCCTCGAACAAGGCGCGGGAAATTCAAATTTACCATTTCAAATTGCAATTTTCGTAAATGCAGAGAATGCGCGCTAAGAAAATGAGACCACCACAACTTTCTTTGCCGTTCTTTGCTACATACGTGAAAAAAAGTTACAAAATTAAAGCCGTTCTTGAAAAAATAACAAACATTTTAAAATTGTACATAAAAAAAGAAAAAAACTTTCGAAAAATCGAACATTATATTATTTGAAGATCTGTTTTTGATAAACACATTTTGTTAAGAAAAAAACAATCTTCATTATGTATTTGTAGGATGACGCCGATAATTATTTAAATTTGCAATTTTTTGCAATTTTTTTGCAATTTTCGAAAAATCACAGATAACAATGAACATGAAACCTGCACCATTCTCTTAAGCGACCTTTATTCTATTCGAGATCAACATTTAATCAAAAGAGAAAAACATTTTACTTAAATCTCAGTTTAAATGTTTTCTACGACGGTCCTCGAGAGGTTGTTATCATCCACCGTCGTCCTGCAAACGCAACCCGCCCAAAAACTTCTCGAGCTCGAGGTAATTCTAAATTCTCTGTCTCCCGTGTTTGTACAACTTTCCCGCACCTGGCCAACCTCACAACCGCCGCGTCTGAAACCAACCTCGCCTCTGCGTCGGCGTCTGCGGTCGCAGCAGCGCCACGCCGCAAGGCAGACGAGGGAAAGCAGCAAGCGCGACGCCAGGCCGCACACTGTTACTACTAGCGCTCTTGCCAGGCGGGCCGGGATCGACCCGGCGGTCGACGCGCACTGCCTCCTGCCGCGGCGCCGCTCGTCTCGGCGGACGCAACGCGGGAAAAGGGACAATCCCTGAGCAATTCTGAATTAACGGATACGAATATCAATATCGCATGGGAGATGACCAAGGAGACTAATACATCCTCTAAATGTCACAAGCAGCCCAATCCCACGATTTTGGGTAATGCATCCCCCCCCCCACACACACACACATATTTGCCTCCTCCGAAATTAGACTACATAAAATAAAAACGACAACAAACGAACCAAGGGGTCCTTCTGTGCGGCGAATCACGCTTGCATTGAAATCGTCAAGATCAGATTCCACTTCCTCCCTTTATTAGGAGTTGAAAATTAACACTTCTAGAAATAATTTCCTTATCAATTCTGCGAATATATATTTTGTAAACATCAGAAGCAACAATGTACTCCCGTAAGATCTGCTTCTATACTTATAATACATTCTTTTGCTTCTCTCATGAATTGATAAAATTTTGCAACGACATCACGCGTATGACGCGTCTGTGAAGGACGTTCTTGTGCAACTTGCTCTGAACCAGATGCATTGCAATGATCACAACAGAACAATAATCATTTATACAGAACTTCACACAAATCGCATCACTTTGATAGGGGAACTGCGAGCATGCACCTCGCGGAGACGGAAAGTCAGGTTCAATGTTGGCATCACTGGAGGAGGTCTGCCAATCTCTGCTGAGAAGGGACGCCCTCCCTCGTGAACTGATGAGGTTGAGGAATGGACTCTTTCGGCAGCTCCGAGCCCTCGACCTTCAGCGGCGACGCTACATAATTTCAATGCACATGACAAATCCGACACCTGACATAATGTCATCAACATTCCGAAAACTTAAGCATTACAGGGGAGTAATTTCAATTACGTACGTCTTGTCTATGGTGGTCGTCCTCAACACCCCAATAAAATTACAACACTTTTGCCTGAATGTAATTTCCCGGTTAGGGGAAGACAGATTTTCCCAAATAGCTAAGCATTACTCTCAAATATTATTTAATTACACAAAAGGTCGCATTGCAGAGTTTCGAATAAAATTCCGTTGTTCAAATCTTCCGCAGATGTATTTAGTGAATATCAAAACTGTCGAGATCCATATATAGTATGCCGAGGGCCTCGGTCACTAATTTTCGAAGTTAATATATTGAGGTTGAATGAAGAATCCCTACGTTTTTGTTTTTTGCATTAGAAGAACCCAACCAGAAAGTTGGAGACGTTGCGTAACTCCGACCACTTATCACGGCTGAATGATTTTTATAGTTGACCCGACAAAACGAAAGAGAACGCAGTGCATATCATGACCCGTGCTTATCAGATGACACTCGGCAACTGTCTGGAAAAATCTGTGAAAAACACGAAAGTCAAAGATTGGAGACCGTGGTCTCCTCGGCAGACCTCTACGTTCCAAATACCACTGTGTATCTATTTGTATTTTCAACTGTCAACAACAGATGGAACTTTCCGATAGATAATCCTGTTTCTGAAGCAAGACTACGATTAGCTTCAATAAATGCCAAGCGATAGAGCCTCGAGGTTCCACACGCCGGGAGTGTGATTTCCAACATCAACTAATTAGGAAATTAAAGAAGTGGTTGACTTATTTCACGAAAAAAAAGTGAAGGACGGAGAGAGTAAAGTACATTTACCAAACATACTATTACACAGAAAGAGAGCATCATTCAAGGATAAAAGCCTCTCATCTTCAAAGAGTAATGTATACATTAGAAGACAATGATCAACTATCTGGTTTACAGTGCTGGCCGTTGTTATGTTATTAAAGCACAAATTGATGGAAAATATGATACTGGAGCTTTCAAAACGCGGCGCTACAAAATAACTCTTCAGGATTAAAGGGACAGACAGATTTCGAAATGAAAAGAATACAAGAACAAAGGAATGTTGAGCATTTCGTTCAGAAGGGATAAATTGATGGGCAATTCTAAGATATCGAAGCCCTTCTCATAAAATTCGAAAACAACCAATACTCAATGGAAAGGTCAATCCAATTAAGATACCTCAAACAGATCGTTAAGACACGAATAGTAAAAATTAGTCCGATTAAAGAAGGCGGTAGAAAAAAAAATACTGAAGGACCTCCCTGAAATTAATACATAAATTGGCTGTATGTAGATATTATTATCCAGAATATAGAAATACTTTTCAGTTTTTCGTCGTTGTGAAAGTGTTTTCTCATTATCCCAAATTAACAGTAAAAAATATAATTTTGTATAAATGAAGTATCATTCAACGCAGTGAGAAATAAATCTTACTTCGTTTCGCCTTTTTTGTTGTTTTTTTTGTCTACTAGATCCATCCATCTATCTATGAAAGCTTTGAATTTGCCAGTTAGAATTATCATGCCTAGAATGCATTGGAATTTCTTGAGATTCGTTCTCAATTATTCCGCTTTAGATTATTCTATTAATACAAAGCTCTTCGCATTATTTCCCACAAAGTAAAGCTTGCCACGTCGTCGACGATTACGACTGCTTTTTTGGTGAATTTCCTCTTCGTTGCCAAACAAGTAATTACCTTTAAATGCAACATAACGCAAATATATTTGTTGCAACACTTTTTGAAAACAGTTTTAATTAAGGGAAAAAATCAGTCAACAATATTGTACTTCATGCAATGTTGTTTTCTAATCTTTCAAAATGGAGAGAGTTCGCCGAAAATGGGGACAACACTACATTTTGTACCGCCTTTTGCTACATACGAGGAGAAAATTGTTCCAATATTGACTATATTTATTGCAAAAATACGCGAAAACAACTCATATTTCCGAATAATTCTACAGGAACTTCCCGTTGCTTCATTACTTCTGGATCTACCTGTGAACAACAGATTATATAAAAGAAAAAAATCTCCCTTAAATATTATAATTGTAGGAAGACGCCGAAAAAAATTTTGGAATTTTCGGAAATTTAGAGATCTCAGCGAAAATGAGATATGCGCCATTTTCTAGCTCCACATACGCTCTCAGAGAACAAAGTTTAATTTAAAAAATTGCATTTTTGAGAAAATTTTGAAAATGTTGAAGCTGTATGTTAAGTATCCATATTCATTCACAGTATCCAGTAAAATCAATATATCCGTTTCAAACTCGCAAATCATTAAGTGCGTTTAAATCGGCTGAGGTTCAAGCACTAGGTGTTGACAATGGAGGGACGGACGAACGGGCGGACAGAGGGACTGGAAGAGAGACATGCAGGCAGGCAGGTAGAGATACAGAAGCACACAGCGACAGACATTTTACTGGCAATCCTTTTGGAGTCAAAAATCCACAAATTTGTATACGACTACGGAACGTATTAAGAGGAGGTAATTTACTATATACTGGAACAGGATTTATCCACTTTTTCTTTAGCAGGGCATCACAATGATATTAGAATTTGAAAAACTAGCACCAAAGTTTTACAATACTTTCTGATTACTTCGTAAGTATGTAGTAAAGCGATACAGAAAAATGATAGAAAGTGTACATAAACTCGTCCTTGAATGCGAAAAAAAGGGGGGGAAAAGGATCATACGTATTTATTAAACGTTGCTTCATTAGTGATGTTTCACGTAATTCTCATTACATTTCATTACAACTTATTTTTGCAAATAGCGTTGCTTCATTCCATCTATGGATAACACGATGGACACCAGTTCATATTTTCGTTTCCAGGAACACAGAATTACAAGGCAAACAAAACATGGTGATCGAGACACCAGTTTAAATGTACTTTCGTATAGCTACTTTCCACATCGGCGCGAAAGTCTTTTAGGATCTACGTTACGAATTTCCACGATTAGCAGTGCTCTAAAGTCGAAGTGTTTTATTTGTTTCAAAAAAATTTTTACTATTGAACGAAAATGCTGGAGCTGGATAAAGAAAAACAAGCGGAAAGAAAAAAAAACTTTAAAATGAAATAAGGACCTACCTACCAGGAAAGAAAATGTTTTCAAAGGAATTAACAAGTGTTTAATTGACCCGCAACAAATTCATTGATTAAAATTTCGCTTTCTGTTTCTCCTGCCCACTTCGATTAATCTAACATTAATATTTAATTTCTGATGCAGTGTTAGTTTACTATTATAATTTCATTGATCTTGTTTTTAAGAGTCTAGTAGTTTCGTTACCAATATTATCAGTTGTAGACAGGACATCTAGTGAGGCATGTCGAATACTAAGTCCACTTTCACGGCACTTCTGCAATTAAGCTTAATGCAAACTCATATGACTACAAAAACAGGCAATAGACACCTTAAAAGCATTCTTTGGGCAAGTAACATAATACCCTAGTCATTTCATGCGTTTCCCAAGCACGGTCAAATTACAAGACTTTTCCAAAGAAGGCAGCTCAGTTGTTCATCAACTATTTAACGAACACGCTCGTGTTTTCGGTATTCGTCCTTTTTAATGAAAATCGATATCGTTTCTATCAGGTCCTGCCACACTCAAGCCACTTTGAAAATACCTTGGTTCAAACTTCAACAAGAATGCGTATAGTTCCGAATCTCTCCACAACCTACGAAAACCTTCTCACATTCCGATAGCATCGATTATCTCCAGCACACAGCGACATGGGAAGCTTCCCGATCACCAATTCTCAAGCTTTACCCGCTAATTAAGATGGGGCGGAGGGGATTTTCACAGCCGTCAGTAACGTCCGTGATCGCGACCGAGCCCGCACACAAGCGCCAGCAACACTTTCGCCGGTCGTGTGCGAACGCACGAGGAAGACGGAGGCGCGCGGCCGAGGTCGACGAACCGTTGGCCGCCGTCGGCCGCAAGCACAAGCCGCACAGGGCGACCTCCAAACGGACAAAATCAATTCCGGGCGGCGCGGGGCCACGGGTCTCGCTTCGCACTGCGGAACGCGATCAGCGCACGAGACGAGCACACGCCGTGCTGGGCGTTCAGTCTGCTGCAAAGGATTAGTGAATGCAGCCACATACTTCATTTGCAAATGCGCACGCAGCAAATTACACCGATTTTTCTAGATTCCAGAACAGGAGTTTCCAACTTGCAAGGTCTCAAGGTCCAACCAAACCT